CAATTTTGGCCTCTAGGGGAAAAACAAAAGACGATAGCGCTATGAGGTTTTCGGCATTAGCAGTTTCTCGAAAAACGAGATCATGACATGTAAGCTACTTTTTTTCTAACTCTTATAGTTTTCGAGTTAGCCTATTCGGACATCGAATTTGAACCACCCTGTACAGGTCAATGGCTTAATTTTTGAACCATTGAAACTGAAGCGTGGAGTACCGCAGGGGTCGGTGTTGGGTCCTTTGCTGTTCTGTTTATACACATCTATGCTTCCAAAAGTTGTCAATTATTGTAAAATTCGTATGTATGCTGACGACACTCAGTTATACTACAACTTTCCGTTTCGTAAATATTCGCATGGAAAATTAATAAAGACTTAGGTAATGTCAGTGAATTTGCAAAGAACCTTGATATTGAACCCTGATAAAAGTGTAGTTATTATGTTTGGCAAAAATGAGGAAGTCGAGGAATTGAAAGCTAATCTTATTCTTAAGTTGAACGGTTGCNAGAAAAGTTAATTTTTAGTTTTATTCTAAAATAATAAGAAATAGACCTGTCAAACCCTATATTTTTGTAATCAGAAAAAAATAACGAATTTATTAAGCGAATAATCAGAGGTTGTTTCCATTTAAAAAAACGAAAATTGTGATAATATCTCAAAAACTAAAACCGACAAAATTTGTTTGACTACATCATCAAATTCTCTGTAAAAAAGTGTTCATATAATGTCTTAGTTATAATACTCCACCTATAATAATAATCAAGATAATTGCAGCTATTGGTTTTACGATATTTTCAATTTTGACCTCTAGGGGAAAAACAAAAGACGATAGCGCTATGAGGTTTTCGGTATTAGCAATTTCTCGAAAAACGAGATCATGACATGTAAGCTACTTTTTTTCTAACTCTTATAGTTTTCGAGTTAGCCTATTCGGACATCGAATTTGAACCACCCTGTACAGGTCAATGGCTTAATTTCTGAACCATTGAAGCTGAAGCGTGGAGTACCGCAGGGCTTGGTGTTGGGTCCTTTGCTTAATTAATAAAGACTTAATACTTTAATAATACTTTAAATATTAATACTTTAATAAATAATTAATTAATAAAGACTTAGGTAATGTCAGTGAATTTGCAAAGAACCTTGATATTGAACCCTGATAAAAGTGTAGTTATTATGTTTGGCAAAAATGAGGAAGTCGAGGAATTGAAAGCTAATCTTATTCTTAAGTTGAACGGTTGCAATATACCTATAGTTGATCAGGCAAGGAATCTTGGGCTAGTTGTTGATGATGCCTTTAGGTACAAACAGCACATTATTAAAATATTAAGTGTTTGTTTTTTGAAATTGAAACTACTCTAATAATAATAATAATAATAAATGCCTTTATTAAAAAATAAGCTTAATTGTATAAAAAAAAACATACATGACTTGGCCAAAAATTACAAAGCAACAGCTTGGTACAACAACAAGGTTGCAAAACATGTCAGATCAGCGTTTGTCCCCATGTAGACATTGTTCAAGAAAACAAGAATTTTTCTGTGTAAATTTAAACCTTCCTAGTGAGAACCCCTTGCAATTATCGTCCACCTCATTATATTTCGAAGTTATTTGAAATATGTATGACCTCTGAAACAAAGACAAACGATAGAAGAGTGGCGACAGTCTTCCGCGAAATCGCGTATTTATTCGGTGGACATCATTTCAGAAAGTTATCAGTTGGTAGAGGTACTGTGGTTCCTTATAGTTTATAATTTTATGGTATAGGCACAAACACTGCACTTTCCTACGATGATACATATTTAGCCATCCCGCATCCTTCAGTTTATAAGATATTCTGTTATATTTTCTAATTCCATATATATACCGAAGACACGAATTTTGCACTCGTTGAATACGTGTTACATCGCTAACGTCAATGCACGGATGTGAAGCACAATAAGTGAATTGAGCCAAAACAGAGGCTTCGCACATCTTGTTCAGATGAATACCAAGGTAGTGTCGATGAGGAAACAATATCCTCAGATGATAATAAGCCCTGGATATACAGTTGGAGGCATGCTTCTTATAGCGAAAACTGTTGTCCATAATCATACTCAAATTCTAATCTTTCAAAGATATTTTTAATTTAAAAATGAAGAAGATGCTTGGTGAATGTTTTGTTCTATCTTTGCTTAATTATTGTATTCTTGTCTATTATCCATGTTTGGATTCCATGGATAGATTGAGAGTGCAAAGAGTGCAGAACGCTTGCATGAGATATATTAAAAATAAAAAAAATTTGAAAGAATCTCTCATAAGCTTAAAGAGTTAACTTGGCTGAATGTTCACAATCGTTATACTCTACAGGCTTCAGTGCTGTATCATAAGGTTGTCACAACCGGCTCGCCTAATTATTTGTGTAAAAAGATTTACACAGTATAAATAATAGAAATAAAAATGTGAATCCGTCTGCTCATGGTACAGTTCTGTTTTGTTGTGAGTTTAGCTACTGTGCCTATAAGCTGTGTAATTCTATCCCCGTCACCATTAGAGCCAAAAGGGAGGGTGCTTTCAGAACGTTATTTAGGCATTTATTTGAGAGATAGTGACTTCTTGTTTGCTTGTCTAGTGGATCAATCTAAATTTAATGCAAGTGGAATAATTTGTTTGTTTTATTTCATTATATTATTTTTCATATTTTTATTGCTCATATACAAGATAGATTATAAGTCAATCATGCAGAATCAGTTAATAGTTTTAATTTTAGGAGTAGGCATTTACTAGGAACAAATAAAAGTGTAATTATTTTAAGGTTAAGTGGAAGAGCAGAAGCTGGCCATGTTATGGGCGCATTCTGAACTTCACCTTAGGATTTACAGCTATTTTATATTTAAGTTATTTTTCTTTTTAAATATTGTGATATTTTCTTTTTTGGTTATTTTTATTTTGCATACAGTGACTATTATTATTTTGTTCTCTTTACTCTGGAAATAAAGGCAGTTTATTATCATAATTTTTTATTATTTATTTTAAACTAATTAATAAATTATGGGATGGTTGTTTAAAATTTCTTTAAAGAAGCCAATTTATTATTTCTTCTTAAAGCCATTTTCCTCACTTTTCTCCAATATTTTAAACTATTAGGATCTAATTCTTCTAATTTAGGAGCTGGCCCAGTTCTTAAATTCCACAACCACTCTGGGTATTCATTATCAGGTAACAATTTTACATCTTCTCCTGTCTTTAATATATTTGATCCGCAAACAAAATTAACCAATTTATTCACGTCCGTTTCAACAGGCAAGATTTTTTTTTCAGCCACTGGCCCTAATTTCCCTTTTTTCTTTTTCATACCAGTTCCGAGCATGCTTACAGCTAAAATTATAAATAATCGTATTTCTTCAGATTCATTTTGAGGTTAGTTACCTGCGGTGTCTTTTTTTGCATAATTCCTTTGAAGTATTAACCGATTGATTGGTGAAAAAATAATCGTTTTATTAAAATACGTTATTTTATTCAAGAAATTCATTTTAATTAATATTGTATATTGTTAAAAACATAACCTCAATGTATCAGGTGTGTGTCAGATATGACCAACATAAAAACTTAAAGTTTGTATTAATTTTAATATAATTTAAATATTTAATAAGATGTAATTAAATTAAAGTAAAGTTAAAATGATGATGTTTTTGTTTATTTTAAATAAAATTTCTGTTGCGTAATTAGTCGAAATGGTAAGTAAATAAGTTATACCATTATTACAGTTGGTAACGGCATTGTTTGACACTGGTTTTGAATTGGTTTGAGGTTAACTTTTTTAAACATCGGTAGCCAAAAACGCTTATTATAGAAAATATGGAAATTGATCAAACTATAAATGATATGAGGCCAGGAAATATACTGCATATAGTTATGGAAAACTTTGTGTAAGTTAAAAATTTTTATCATATTAAAGAAAAAACTTTATTTTATAATAATGTATTTAGAACATATACAAAAGCAAGTTTATCAATGGGGCCTAATATAAATGTGATTTGTGGTCCAAACGGCACAGGAAAATCAACAATAGTTGCAGCAATTATTTTAGGATTAGGTGGTAATCCAAAACAAGTTGGTCGTGGAACTAGAGTTTCAGAGTATGTAAAGCACGGTTGTACAGAAGCAAAGATACAAATTATTTTGTACGACCCCAACAAGTCTTCCAAGAACGTTTTGATAACAAGACAATTTACTACATCTAATCACACAGAATGGAAAATAGATGACAAGAAAGTTTCAATAAACGATGTAAAAGATTACACTACAAAGTTTAATATTCAAATAAATAATTTGTGTCAATTTTTGCCTCAAGATCGAGTTCAAGAATTTTCAAAGTTGAATAAACAAGATTTGCTAAAACAGACTAAAATTGCTTTGTGCAGAGAGGATTTAGTGCAAAAGAAAGACATATTAGTTCAAACTATGATTGATTTCAACAATAGCCATAAAAACTTAGAGAAAAACATTGAAAAGTTACAAGCTGCTAAAAATCTTATTATGCAATTAGATGGAAAAGTTAAAAACTTGGAGAAGAAGAAAGGGTATCTTAAATCAGTTAAAGATATTAATAGGAAGATTGCGTGGATAAATTATGAGGAAATTGTTTCAAAAAGAAACGAAGTCAAAGAAGATAGATCTAAAGCAAGGGAATTGTTGAATAATAGAAAAAAGGACTTAGAACCTAAAGAAAAACTTGTTAGGGAGTTTCAAGAAAGTATAAAACAATTTCAAATAAAAATTAACAATACAGTATGTTTAATTGTATTCATTAAAATGTTTGATTGATTACTATCTTTTTAAGGATACATCAATGAAAAATACACAAGCAAAAATCACAAGCTTAGTAACAGAAATAACATCATTAAATGAAGAAATAAATGGTCAAAAGCAACAGATGGAATCACAACTAAAAGAGTTGTCCCAGCGAGATATAGATATAGCAAATTATACAAAAAAGAGACAAGCTTTGTATAATGATAAAAATGAAATTATTTCAAAATATGGAAATGGTAAGAATTTGTGGTAATAAAAACTTTGGACTTTTTTTCTCAACTCATCTCTATCCACTCCTGGATGTAAACCTCTTCAATTTCTCTCCTCAATCTTTTTGGTGTCATCCAACCATCTCTGTTGTGGTGTTCCAACATTCTGGGTATTGCACTATTACTATGTAGAACTAACACTATATCTAGAACTAGAATCATTTTAGTGAGATTAGTGTTGCACCATACATTTACTTTAACACAGTACTGACGCCTCTGTGGTATTCGAAAATGCGGATTAGAGTCATTCCAATATTGTGCATGTTGCGAAGCCACAACACCATTGGTCAAAAAAGTTGATTCATCAGAAAACATTATTTTCTTATGAAATCCTCTTTCCATACAGCCAACCCACAAACAAAAATCCAAACGTTTTGCTTCATCGCCGAGTTCCAAAACATGATTAAAAACTGGATTGTATCTTGTTGTGTTTTAATATTTTTTGAATTTGCGACATTTCAACAAATTGGAGTTCCTCTACTGAATGTAATGCCAACAGTGTGCTTGCATCATTTTCATCGTATCTCTTCTTTTCTCTAGGTATTCGCAACAATGACCCAGTGCTTGAAAATTTCAAAATTATTTTACGGCAAGTAGTCTCAGGAACGTACACATTGGGGAAGTTTTCATTAAATTCTTGAATAACTCGACGATAACATTTTTCGCCTCTCCCATAACATTACACCAANTTGTAGGTCCTTAATGAACCTTAGTATTGTCCTGAGGTCTTGAACCTTTATGTCGGTAGGTAACAAGGGAGTTTTACCGAAAATGTTGTGTCTTAGACGGCCTCTGGCAAAGCAATTGCACAGTATATGTTCAGTTTCTGACTCGTCGTTGCATAGTCGACAAGTTTGATCCTCAGCTTGTCCAATGTGGAAGAGGTAACATCATTGCCCCTAGCGAGTTCTCTCAGGTTGTTGGTATACTCTGATCAGTGCGGAGTCACGCGTGTAGGCCTGAATTGCCTTTAAGACGGCCCGACTATCTGTGCAAATGTTTATGGATGCACCTTTTTGTCCCTTCTGTAGGTTCAAAGCGGTGCAGAAGTTATTGCAAGAACTTCTGCTTGGAAAATTGTTAAGTCCGAGCTGAGGGGGGCTATTTGGTCCACTGATGCCCATGCCTACTCCAGATCTTACTGTCTTTGAAGCATCGGTGTACCAGGCTAAAACTCCTCTTTTTAGTTGACGCCCAATATGACCTTATACGGTTGGTTGAAATTGTATTCCGTCGGTATAAGGTCCGTTTTAATTTCAATCAGGTGATTTAGACATGGGTCCTTGAGGATCTCGAGGTGTTCTCTGAGGTTACCCTGCGTCAACTTGAGTGAAGAAACTGTTTTCAGTGATAAGGCACTTAAGGCTGCCTCCTTTTGTATATATAAATAGAGCGGTGTGAGATAGAGTAGGGCTTCCAAAGCAGCCATCGGACAGGATCTCATTGCACCCGTTATGTTATGACATGCTAATCGCTGGATTTGTGCCAGCTGTTGTTGTACTATCGGCCAAACCTTATTTACTACATGGCGTAAGGGACAGAAAACAAATCCCCCGCACGGTCGCTTTGCCGAGTACAGCCGAAGAATCGAAGACTGGAGGGGCGTACTCATTTTCTCTCGAACCTTTGCTCTAGCCTTGTCGTCTCTTCAACCCTGAAGTGCCGGGCGCCCGATGCCAGCTTAAAGTCGAGCGCGCCTTGGATTCGAACAAAAATACACANACTATCACTAGAACTAACACAAGACCTAGAACTAGAATCATTCGGGTTTAGCCGTCTTGAGAGACGTGCGGCTAAATCCGAATGTTTCTAGTTCTAGGTCTAGTGTTAGTTCTAGTTTTAATTGTTGTGCAGCGTTAGACCAAGAACTAGAATCTTTTGGGTTTATCCGTCTTAAGAAACGTACAGGCTAAACCCAAATGTTTCTAGTTCTAGGTCTAATGTTACTTCTAGTGACAGTGCAAGTGTAATGCTAGAACTAACACTAGACCTAGAACTACAAACATTCTATAAACTTCCTAGTTGTACGTCTAGCGTTACTTCTAGTTTTAGTTCAATAAAAATATACAATAAAACTAGAACTAACACTAGTGTTAGACTAAGTTTGTTGATATGGGCCACTTCTTGATGTCATCCAACCATCTTTGTTGTGGTCTTCCAACACTCTGGTTTGTTGTTTAAAGCCTTCACTGGATAATCTTTGTCACCCATTCAATGCTGTCTTATCTTGTGACGTGTCTCACTTCAAGCCAGCAATTCTCGCCACTCTGTTTGTGATTTCAGTTCTCCTTCAGATCTCTTTATTACGCACTCTGTCTTTGAGACTGATCCCCAGCAAGATAATAAAGGAGTCTCATTGATAACTGACTTCTATTTGTAGTTATACAGTATGTCCACGGAAAAGGTGTTGAATAGGAAAAACGTTTTTATTTTTAATTTTATCGAAAAAGGTGAATCTTGATAAAAAATTTTGCTAGTTTTTAGAGTAAGATTGGAATAGAAACATTTAATATATTTTATAAACGGTGTTCAGAAAATTGAAAAAAACTTTAAATGGTAGAAGAGTAAAGTGTATTTATTTGAGAAGATAAGGAAGTGAGTTACTAGGAAAAGTTGTTCAAAAGTAAAAGGTAGTCTCTAATACCAATTTTCGAAAAAGTCGGCCTGCTTTTATTTATTTGTGATCAACTGAATCAACTGAACTGGTCCTTGTCTCCCAATCCAGTGGTCTGGAAACGTATGGTCTAACCATTGTCTAACCGTTGCCGAATAATATGCTGGGCATTCATCTTGTTGAAAATAAAATGAACGACTGTATTCTAATGGAAGATTGTCTAATTCACCGTTGAGGGAATTTCTTAACATAGCTAAATAACTATTCGCGTTACAAGTAGTGTCAAAGAAGTATGGCTCTATTATACCGTAATAAGAAATGGTGCACCATACATTTACTTTAACACAGTACTGATGCCTCCGTGGTATTCGAAAATGCGGATTAGAGGCATTCCAATATTGTGGATGTTGCGAAGCCACAACACCATTGGTCAAAAGAGTTGATTCATCAGAAAACATTACTTTCTTATGAAATCCTCTTTCCATACAGCCAACCCACAAACAAAAATCCAAACGTTTTGCTTCATCGCCATGATTAAAAACTGGCTTGTATGGATGTATCTTGTTGTGTTTTAATATCTTCTGAATTTGCGACTTTTTAACAAATTGGAGATTTTCAGCTCTTCTTCTTAATGATAATTTCGGGGGTCCTCTACTGAATGTAATACCAAGAAAATGCTTGCATCATTTTCATCGTATCTCTTCTTTTCTCTAGGTATTCGCAATAATGACCTAGTGCTTATTATTATTATTGCTGCCGGGTTTAGGAGGGCTGCCCCTCTCGTTACCCCGACCTATAAAATCTATTGTAACTTTAGCCTTCCAAAGGTTTAGGGCAAATGTAGGTCCTTAACGAACCTTAGTATTGTCCTGAGGTCTTAAACCTTTATGTCGGTAGGTAACAAGGGAGTTTTACCGAAAATGTTGTGTCTTAGACGGCCTCTGGCAAACCAATTGCACAGTATAAGTTGAGTTTCTGACTCGTCGTTGCATAGTCGACAAGTTTGATCCTCAGCTTGTCCAATGTGGAAGAGGTAACATCATTGCCCCTAGCGAGTTCTCTCAGGTTGTTGGTACACTCTGATCAGTGCGGAGTCACACGTGTAGGCTTGAATTGCCTTTAAGACGGCCCGACTATCTGTGCAAATGTTTATGGATGCACCTTTTTGTCCCTTCTGTAGGTTCAAAGCGGTGCAGAAGTTATTGCAAGAACTTCTGCTTGGAAAATTGTTAAGTCCGAGCTGAGGGGGGCTATTTGGTCCACTGATGCCCATGCCTACTCCAGATCTTACTGTCTTTGAAGCATCGGTGTACCAGGCTAGGGCTCCTCTTTTTAGTTGAGGCCCTCCTTTCGCCCAATCATCCCTGCTACTAAATATGACCTTATACGGTTGGTTGAAATTGTATTCCGTCGGTATAAGGTCCGTTTTAATTTCAATCAGGTGATTTAGACATGGGTCTTTGAGGATCTCGAGGTGTCCTCTGAGATTACCCTGCATCAACTTGAGTGAAGAAACTGTTTTCAGTGATAAGGCACTTAAGGCTGCCTCCTTTTGTATATATATGTGGAGCGGTGTGAGACCGAGTAGGGCTTCCAAAGCAGCCGTCGGACAGGATCTCATTGCACCCGTTATGTTAAGACATGCTAACCGCTGGATTTGTGCCAGCTGTTGTTGAGCTGTCTTATGTTTTGTTTTTGGCCACCAAACCAATGAGGCGTAGGCGACCATGGGTCTGATTATTGCTACGTAGGCCCAATGAGCCATTCGTGGTTTGAGACCCCAGTTCCTTCCTAGGAGCCTGCGGCAGATCTGGTTTGCCATGATGGCCTTTTTCCTCACCTTATCTAAGTGTGAGTTCCAGTTTAGTTTACTGTCAAGTATTACCCCTAGGTATTTAGTTTCTGTTTTGAGGTTAATAGTTCTGCTTTCAATGGAGGGTGCTTTTATTTGTAGCTTCCTTCTCCGAGTGAAAGGGACTATTTCGATTTTATTGGGATTGATGCTGAGCCCATTGCTTCTGCACCAAGTACTGGTGAGTAGTAGGGCTTTCTGCATTAGCTGAGTTATGATTGAATCATATTTACCTCGGATTGTGATTACCAGGTCATCAGCATACCCTTGTATCTTAAATCCGTTTTTAGTTAGGGTGTTCATCAAGTCATTAACTACCAGGCATCACAATAGAGGTGATAGCACTCCCCCTTGGGGACATCCTCTTAGCGCCTTTATAGTCAGCGACTCGCCTCCCAGACTGGCTGTGATCTGCCAACTTTTCAACATTTAGTTAGAGCCTTCTCTATGGATTCTGACCCAGTGCTTAAAAACTTCAAAATTATTTTACGGCAAGTAGTCTCAGAAACGTACACATTGGGGAATTTTTCATTAAATTCCTGAATAACTCGACGATAACATTTTTCGCCTTTCCCATAACATTGCACCAAGAAAATTTTTTGCTGTAAAGTAAGCATTTTAAGCTGACAATACAATAAAGCTTGTCACCATCAACGCCTACTAGTACAAAAATGATCACAAATAAATAAAAGTAGGCCGATCTTTTCTAAAATTGGTATTAGAGACTACTTTTTACTTTTGAACAACTTTTCCTAGTAACTTATTTCCTTATCTTCTCAAATAAATGTACTTTACTTTTGTACCATTTAAAGTTTTTTCAATTTTCTGAAAACCGCGTATAAAATAAATATATTAAATCCCAATCTTATGTGTTTCTATTTTTTGATTTATAGAAAATGAAATGAAATCTTCCATCTCCAATGTTAATCAAAATCTTACAAAATTAATGGGTGATCGTAATCATTTGGATAATAAGAAATCGGAATACGAAGATTTAAAACGAAATAATATGTATGAAAGGCAGGGTATGGAAAATCATCTTCGTAATATGGAAAATATAAAAGATCAACGTTTAGAGTATTTAAGAAGACTTGATAATGGCGCTTACCAAGCTGTGATGTGGTTAAGACAAAATCAACTGGATTTTATTGGAACTGTTTATGAACCAATGATATTAGAGGTAAATTAGTTTTAAGTTATTTTATTTTTATAAACTATTTTTTTGTAGTTAAATGTAATTGATCCCAAACATGCGTTATATCTTGAAAACGTTGTGGCAAGAAGAGATAAAATTGCATTTGTTTGTACAGAAAAGCAAGACATGAATCTTTTAATTCGTGTGCTTAGAGATCAACATAATTTTAGCGTCAACATTTTATATTCGGAAGATCGTAACGATCAAAACTTAAATATGTATCAACCAAAAATTCCGATTGAACATTTAAAAAAATACGGCTTTTTTGCGTATTTGAACAGTTTAGTGACTGGCCCAAAAGCAATTATGAAGTATTTGTGTAAAAATTATTGCATTCATCAAATTCCAATTGGAAATGAAAGCACAAACAATCATTTTGAGGCTATTCCTGCTGATATACGATTATTTTTTAGCGGTAAATTCAATGTGTAACAAAATATATTAACTTTATTGAACTATTTTTTTGTGTATTTTAGATAAAAGTAGATTTTCTATTTCTTATTCCAAATATACAAACCAAAAAATTAGCAAACAAGATAGTATTAGTACAGATGGAAGTTTTTCGATTTCTATTGATACAAGAAAACTTAATGAAGTGAAAAGCAGATTAGAAGTTCATAAACGAAATTTTGAAAATTTGATTTCTGAAGAAAAATCGTTAAATGAACAAGTACGTTTTATTATTTTAACCCATATACAGTGTGTCCCCGGATAGGTGAAACGACTCTTATAAAATGTAAAATTTTTTCGATATTAATTGTCATCTTTTGGGGTTCAGCCCTGCTTGGTTGAAGACTAATTTTGAACATATTTTCAAATTTTAAAAAACAAGTGACTGTTGACACTGAAACAAAAACTTCTTGTGCATCAGGTAAAGTACCTTTTCTCTTTACGGTATGATAAAATGTTACTAAGAAATTTTATTCAGAATGAAAAGTTAGGGCCATATCAAAATTTTCGGAATCATCGGCCTACTTTGATAAAACCCATTTTTGGTTATTTTCGTCAATAGTAAAACAAAAAATAGGAAACTTTTGATTAAACGCCAACAAGTTTTTAATTCCAATATTTGGAAATTTTTCACTAAATAAAGCAATAACTACATTTATCGGTTTTTCCCCGGTTCCATAACACTGAATCACGTAAACTTTTTCCTCTAATGTTAACATTGTATTTAAAAAACACTTTAAGTATACTAAATTACAATTTAACAGATTAACAGTGACAGGAAAGCAATTTTGTTTTATCCATGGCAGTCTTTGTTAGAAATAAAATTGTATGATATGGATTTGTTTTTTAAAAATTGAAATCATGTTCAAAATTAGTCGTTAATCAAGCAGGGCTAAACCTCAAAAAATGAGAATTAATATCGAAAAAAATTTATCTTTTATAAGAGTCGTTTCACCTATCCGGGGACACACTGTATATACAGTGTGACTCATTTGAAAGTCGAGCACCCTCGTAAAATTTGTATTTACTATCTGATTTCGACAATTTTTTTTTGAATTGTAGACCATAAAAAACTGTACCTTCGGACAACGAGTCATATATTTCTTAGAAAAACCAAGGCGTACTATTTCACTATTTAGGTGCTAAAAATGAAGAAATCATATTAGGAAATTTTTGAAAAAGAATCTGAGTACACCACTGCATTAAACGCCTTTTGAAAAGGGCATATACCAAATTTCATCAAAAATGGTTAGAAATTAAAACTGTTACAGATAATTGAAAAATATATTTTTTTATGAATTTATTTGATCTGATCTATATATATATTATAGTATAGTTTCCGATATTTCTGGTGGTTTTTATGACTTAATTGCAGTCATATAACGAACAAAGATGGGGTTGTATACTGGCGTGAGTTGTTCAGGTCCACATTAACGAAAAGTTCAATAACATAATATTTAAAAATTTAAATATCATTACTTTGTGTGAAAATACAACAATTTATTTAAATCTATCTAAAAAGTACATTTGCTTAAATAATTTATGATTATTATTATAAAATTTAAAATCTTTTCACACTAATTCTAAGATAATTATAAAAAATATGTTTTAATTTTTATATTATAAATTAATACTTGCTTTTTTTTGTAAAATCATTTAAGTATAAGTAAATTTATATTCTTTACTACATTTCTGTTTTATTTTGTTGAATTTAAAATAAAATAAAAAAGAAGTGCGTCCCTGGACCTAGTTCCCTAGGAGGACCTATCATAAATCATGTCCAGGTACTTTTTCCGGGTGATAATTACTGCCACTACTGTTTCTGAAGATCATAAAAACCACCAGAAATATCGGAGACTATATATAAACCATGACAAAAAAGGTAATAAAATACAGACAATAATACAAAAACTATTTACATTTGTTACTGATGAAATTAATTGATAAAAAATTATATTTTTCAATTATTTGTAACGGCCCTTAATGCAGTGGTGTACTCAGATTTTTTGTAAAAAATTTCCTAATACGATTTCTTCATTTTTTGCACATAAAAAGTGAAATAGTAGGCCTTGGTTTTTTCAAAAAAAAATATGACTCTTTGTCCTAAGGTATAGTTTCTTACGCTCTACAATTCAAAAAAGAATTTGTCGAAATCAGGTAATAAATACAGATTTTATAAGGGTGCTCCGCTTTCAAATGGGTCACACTGTATATCATAAACTTATATATGTGTGGATAAACAATTGGGTTTAGTCACGCGTCTCTCAAGACTGCTAAACCAGAATGTTTCTAATTCTAGGTCTAGTATTAGTTCTAGTGATAGTGCTAGTGCAATACTAGAACTAACACTAATTAATTCAATTTTATTTAATTCAATACAAATGCATAATAACCCAACACTGAATAGCAACTAAAACTAGAACTAACACTTCGTCTACTAGCCGTGCGTCTTCAGATTCAATTCTAGTTTTACATTTGCACTGTGACTAGAACTAACACTAAACCTAGAACTAGAATCATTCGGGTTTAGCCGTCTTTAGAGACGTGTGGCTAAACCCAAATGATTTTAGTTCTAGGACTGTACTTCTACTGTTATTTTTACATACTAGTAATAGTGCTAGTGTAAAACTAGAACTAAATCTAGACCTAGAACTAGAAACATTCGGGTTTAGCCGTGCGTCTTCAGACTAGTCTAGGTAAAATAGCTATTGATTTCTCCAGATTCATCATATAAAATTGAATAATTAAAAGTTAGGGTGGTTATGATGAATAATTTATTGAATTCGGTTCTACATACGTTTCAATTTTTTAAAAATCGTCATCAGGCACGACTTCCTCAGTTTGGGGTAGCATTTCGCAAGTGGTGAATCAAAAGGGGTCGTTTCTCTGCAACATGCCGTCTTGAAGAATGGACGTTTTTCTATTTTGGATTTTCTTTTTGTTTTTTGCGTTTTTGCCTTTTTGGCTTACATGTTGAAAAGAGATAGTATTCATTATTAATAGATAAATAATTATAGTTAAAATCCATTATACCAGTTGTTTGATACGTGAGAAGGTAATTAAATTTAATATTCTTAGTATTGTACTTTTAAAACTGGTTTTATTATTTATTTAATTAAGTCTAACTAGTTTCGGCCCATGGCCATCTTCAGAGACTAATGCTAAAAGAACGTTCTTTTTAACGTGTCGATCTGTTGTTTGTCGTAACCTCAAAGTAATTTTATTTAAAATATTTACAATTACACTTAATACTTTGCAATATGACATCTTAGTTAACTCTTATGACATTAGTCTTTGAAGATGGCCATGGGCCGAAACTAGTTAGACTTAATTAAATAGATAATAAAATTAGATGCAAAAGTACAATACTAAGAATATTAAATTTAATTACCTTCTCACGTATTCATTATTAATGTTTTAAATTTCATTTAATTTTATTTATTTAAAGGGATTTCACGTTTTATTATTGATTTAATTTAAGCTTGTATTTTTCACTTTCATTTAAGATTGTTTTTGTTCTCCTATTCATTCTTATTTTAGTCTTTATATTAACTTCAACTTTCAACTTGCTCGCTAAACAGATGTAATGAAAAATAATTTTTTATGACGACCCCTTTTGATTCTTCACAAACTTACGACGTCGTGCCTGATGACGATTTTTAAAAAATTCAAACATATGTAGCACCGAATTCAATAAATTATTCATCATAACCACCCTGCATTTTAATTAGTCTAGGTAAGTAAGGCTTTCGTCATCTGAATCTAGTTCTAGGTATAGTGTTAGTTCTAGTGACAGCGTAAGTGTAAAACTAGAACTAACACTATACCTAGAACAAGAATCATTTGGGTTTAGCCGCACGTCTCTAAAAACGGCTAAACCCGAATGATTCTAGTTCTTGGTCTAGCGCTGCACAACAATTAAAACTAGAACTAATACAGCGCAAGTGTAAAACTAGAAATATCACTATATCTAGAACTAGAATCATTTGGGTTTAGCCGCAGGTTTCTAAAAACTGCTAAACCCAAATGATTCTAGTTCTAGATATAGTGATATTTCTAGTTTTACACTTACGCTGTCATTAGAACTAACACTATACGTAGAACTAGAATCATTTGGGTTTAGCCGCACATCTCTAAAGACGGCTAAACCCAAATGATTCTAGTTCTAGGTATAGTGTTAGTTCTAGTGACAGTGCAAGTGCAAAACTAGAACTAACACTATACCTAGAACTAGAATCATTTGGGTTTAGCCGCACGTCTCTAAAGACGGCTAAACCTGAATGATTCTAGTTCTAGGTATAGTGTTAGTTCTAGTGACAGTGCAAGTGTAAAACTAGAGCTAACACTATACCTAGAACTAGAATCATATGACGAAAGGCTAAACCCAAATGATTCTAATTCAAGGTCTAGTGTTAGTTCTAATTTTAGTTCAATAAAAATATACAACAACTTGATGCTGAATAAAAACTAAAACTAGAACTAACACTAGTATTAAACTAACTTTGTTGATATGGGCCACTTGTCATTTCTTCTGAATAATACAAATGATATAATTGAATGATACAACATATAATTTTTTAAATTATAGGTTGGAAAACTATTGGAAATGATTAAAAAAGAAAAAGATGTGATGAATTCAGTGAAACAAGATCATCAAAAATTACGAATGATTGAAGAAAAAATTAGTCGATATCATCAAATACTCGAACAATTTAAAAATGATACTCAAACTGTAACTCAAATTGAAGCTGAAACTAAACAGAAAATTAATGTAAGTAAATACAAGCTGTTGATTAAAGTACATTTTAAGTTAAAAAAATTTCTTTGTCCACGACTACCTTATAATATACATATACCTTATGAATGAGTTTTCTAAAACAAAATGGTACTCATTTTTCACGGAGTGAATAATAGCGGTGAATAATAATCATTATTCACGGGTAGCCATCTTGACCAGACTAATAATAATTATTTGAAACGTTAAATGTTCAAAAAACGTCAATTTAATTTAATTTTTTAGGAGTTTCTAAATGTTTGACATTAAAAAAACCTAAACAAATTCGTTTCTTCGTATGATTTAAGCATAAATTAATAATTTTCGTAAAGAAAACGACGTTTTATAAAACTGACACTTAATTTTGACAAATTGTTGTGAAGTTGGTTACAGTTAGTAACATTGAATTTGTGTCACATTGACGTTTAACCTTTATTCAAAAAATTATTTAAAAAATAAATTTATGGAATCAATTTCAATAGTCGTGGACAAAGTATAGTGTTCTACTCGCATATAATGAGCTATTATTCACTCAGGTTAATTATGCCACTCGCTACGCTCGTGACATAAACTTAACCTTCGTGAATAATAGCCCTCATTATATGCTCATATAATAATATACTATTATATACGACTCCTTGGATAAGTCATCATTACCACACTCATTTGAGGTGATTTGAGTTACGTAATGAAGTTCATTACCGCACTGGTTTCATTACGTAACGCATTTTTAGCCCAATTAGAACAGATTTAATTTATTGAAACGAGCAACAATACAAAAGAAAACGTGCTACCTATTTAAAAAGAAACAATACTATTTATTATAAACATTAATTGTTATGTTCTTGCATTTGAAACTGACATTAATTCAAAATTGTCAACAATCATTTCAAAATATTTTTATAAATAGATCTTTTTAAAGAAATTGATTTTTAAGTAATTTTTAGTAGTCGCTAAACAATTATGTTTAAAAAATTATGCGAATTATGTTTCTAGCCCACTTGTAATATAAATAACTATTATGTTATAGATTATAATTAAGAAAATGAAAGAAAAAAATAAACCACTTAAAACATACATGACCGAGTATAATAATTACAAAGTAATAGAAAATGTAACTAAATTAAAATTAGGATACGGAAAAGATAAAGTAATAACATTAAAAAATGAAATAATAAACATTCAGGATGCTTTTAAACGCGAACAGGAACTTTACGATAATTTAACAAGTTATTTAAATACATTAACAAACGAGGCTAAAATATCACTTGAACGTGCTAAGAAGCTATCGAACGGTTTTACGCCAGCTGAAGATGGTTTCGAACCGTTCCGTGAAATATACGATAAACTTGACGATACAATTGAAAAGTTAAACGAACAAAAAGAAACGATTCAAAATAAAATTGAATGTTTAAACTCGGCCGACGAAAACGAAATTCGTAAATATGAAGAACAAGTTCAACTGGCTACACAATTAGAAGAAAAAGTTGAAAATGCCAATAAAGATGGTGATTTAATGGAACGAAAAATTGAAACACTCGAACGCGAATATTTAGAGCCACTGGAATACGTAATCGGTCAGATTAATGAAAAATTTCGAGCGGCTTATGAACGAATGGGTTGTGCGGGTGAAGTTACTGTATTTAAAGGGGATAATCCAAAAGATTATGATAATTATGGTATTTCGGTTAAAGTTTCGTATCGAAGCGGGGAACCTTTACAAGAATTAAACAGTTTAACGCAAAGTGGTGGTGAAAAAGCTGTGGCTACAGCTACTTATATGCTATCAATGCAAGAATTAACACCGGTCCCATTTAGATGTGTTGATGAAATAAATCAAGGAATGGATGAAACTAACGAAAGGAGAATTTTTAGATTACTTACTGAAACTGCCGCTCAGCCAAATACAGCCCAATATATTCTTGTTACACCTAAAGTAAGTAAAATTTAAGGGTTTATTATTTAAGGGCCTTTATAGTTAATTAATTAAAAAAATGTATTATTTTTCAGTTAATTCCAAAATTAAGTTACGTCAGAAATATGATGGTTCACTGCGTTTATAGTGGTCCTTTTTTAAATCTTTAATAAATATGTAATAAAGTATTCTATGCTGTTCTACATCTAAACGCTAAAGGTCCTATTTTTTGTAGATCGTATTTTTGTATATGATTTTCATACGCGTTTTGACCCCGAAGTCTATCCCTAATCTAAAAAAGGGAAACGTTTGATAAATTGTTAAAGTTTAAATCACTTTTTACTCTCTCAGCTGTTCTTAGTACTCGTAAAAAATTCAATCCAGCCAATTTTTTTAAATTTTCCGACGTCCACCTTCGCGGATTTCGTTTTTTGAGATAATCAAATAAATCTGGATATTTTGATACGTCTTCTAAACCTTTGGGCATACTATAATAGCACAATTTAGTAATATAAATTAATTTTTTTATGTTTATTACAAAGGTACTCCATCGTAATCGGCTCCTATTCCAACGTGATTGATCCCGATTAAATTAACAACGTAATTAATCTGTCCTTAAAAATATAACATAATAACATACATAATTTGTAAAAAAATAAAAAGCATTACTTGCAACGTCTCCTAAGGTTGCTTCTAAAACATTGGGGGTAACAAATTCGTTATGAAACACAATCATGATGATCCCATTGTTTAATTTCTATTAAAGTTTAAATATTTATTTTTGTAAATGGTAATAAGTAATTATATTACCAACATTCTTAATATTTTATCTGGAACATTTCTGTTATGGGGACACAAAGAATAAGCTGCGGAATGAGAAAATATCACTGGAGCTTTACTTATTCTAATAGCTCGTTCCATTACTGGTGGAGAAACATGCGATAAATCAACTAACATTCCTAACCTGTTCATCTCTTTTACAATCATCTAAAAATCAAAACAGAAAATAACTTGTTGTTATAAAATTTGTAGTTTACTTCTCCGAATTTTGTGAGATTTTTAATTGGGTGTAATTCCCAAGAGTTATCAGCCCTAAAAAAATAATTATTAATATTTGAAATTAAAAAATAAACATAAATAAATAACCAAGGAGTACTACATGCATGTGTTAATGTTAAATATCGAACACCTAGTTCATAATACGTTCTAAGAATGCTTAATCTTGAATCGATTGAGTGCCCTCCTTCTACTGATATCAGACAAGCAAGTTTACTTTTATTAAATGCATCCCAAATACCTAAAAAAATTGTATTTAATTTTCTTTTGTTGATTTTTTTAAGATTTTACCAGCGACTGATGTAACTAATTGCAAATGATTAGGATATTTAAACACTAATCGTTTTATAACATCGATTTGTTCCAAAGTTTTTGCCACGGCATCTCTGTACTGACTCTCACAGGGCACATAAGCAACAAAAAACTTTAAAATGATTTTATTTTTATTGAAATAATTATTTATATTTTTACCTGACCACCGACTTTTCCTCTTCGTAATCTGGGTAAATCCGTGTAACAATAATCGCATTTTTGCCTACCAAATCGAACATCCTTCCGTAAATCTTTGTCAAATTCGAAATTAGTAATTTCGTTACCGAGTTTTTCAAATAAATTATTGGGCAGATCATTATGACTAAAAAGGTAAGTATTTTGTACAAAAAAGAAGATTTTTTTCGATAACTTTACCCATCAATAAGTGGCACTTCATCTAAAACATGGCACAAGAATGAATTCTTATTTAAAAAATAATTTAACACGTAAACTTAAAAACAAGATTAGTTTCGGTTATTAAATACTTTTTTAACTTAATTATTTTACCTATATAAAATATAATCATCGTAATTAATATGTTGAATCATTTCAACTAAAAATGATAACCTTATAAACGTCAAAACATTTTAACAGTGACAAATTATTGATTTGTTTAATACAAATTATTCGGGTTTAGCCACACGTCTTTCAAGACGGCTAAACCCGAATAATTCTAGTTCTAGGTCTTGTGTTAGTTCTAGTGATAGTGCTAGTGCAATACTAGAACTAGCACTAGACTGAGAACTAGAAACATTCGGGTTTAGCCACACGTCTCCCAAGACGGCTAAACCCAAATGATTCTAGTTCTAGGTCTTGTGTTAGTTTTAGTTTTACACTAGCACTATTACTTGTATGTAGAACTAAGACTATACCTATTTCTGCAAAGAGGCTTAGAAGAACTTCTCCCAATAATAATATCCCTATATATAGCTAGCTACAGCTTTAGCTATATACCCACTCTATGGAGGAAAGTAAAAGTGGTCTTCATACCTAAAGGTGGTAGGCGTTCAAACGCGGACCCCAAGGCGTACAGACCAATTAGCCTAACTTCATTTCTCCACAAAGGGATGGAAAAGGTAATCGATCAATACCTAAGGAATGGAGTGCTTCTCACAAATCCACTCCACCCTAGCCAACATGCTTACCAGAAAGCAAAATCAACAATTACCGCTCTCCATGCTTTGACTAGCACCTTAGAGGAGGCAATTGCAACCAAAGAGATAGCCCTTTGTGCTTTCATAGATATAGAGGGTGCGTTTGATAACACCTCATATGAATCCATAGAGAAGGCT